TTGTTTATGTGGACCAGTTGCTGGAATGCCACGGCCCAATATCGGGGACCCCTGCATTACAGTACAAATATTTGAACAAAGCATGCTGATTTCAATGCCTTTATTTTTCCTCCTAAAATGAAAAAGAACTATCTTCTATATAGATAGCTTCCCTTGAAATATTTGTTGAAATTATTACATTAACAATGTTCTTTTTTTCATCCTGGAGATCTATCTCTATGGTCATTGACTTGATAGAACATAATTAATCAATCAACCAATCAATCAACTTTCTTTTTTATTCTCCTCACCAGCCCTTTGCAGTGTATTAAAATTTCAGTAATATTTTACCTTAATACAGCTACTTCATTTCTAAAGGCTTGGAATTGTTCTGGGGTTGGATCTACAACCTTTAGTATCTTTACTGCTACATCGCCTGCAAAAATAATCAATAATAAACATAACACCAAAATCATTCATGGAAGTCTCAAATGCAGAACTTTTATGTATATACACAACAGCTATTATGATAAGGAATAGCTTGAAAACAATATGCCAGTTACAGTGGAAAGTACAAAACTAAAAGTTTAATTACTCTGCATCAGGCTGTTTCATAAAAATGTACACTTCTTGACAGACATAAAATGGACTTTTCAGACTGAAAAGCACAAAAGCATTTTTTTCCCACAGAGACAATAATAGTTTAGCTAAAAGCAAAGTGGTTTGAATGAAAAATGTTCCGTTTTTATTTTGAAACAACTCAGTTCCAGTATGGAATAAACTGTTTTGATACAAACTGTCTGAATTGGCCTGTTTTGACCCAAAGACATAGTGTTGAACGCTAAATATTCCAAAGAATCAAGATGTGGATTTCACATTATAAACAAGCTATTTTGCCCTCAAAACAAGTCACTTCAAATTCTAAGCCGTTCATATATAAAATATTTACATATCATTAAATATATTATTCAGTTAACTAATATTTTTAAAATTGTCGTTAAGCAACTAATTGATTGTAGAAAGGCATTTGTATTGATCACTTCAAGCTATGTGTTTAGAAAAATAGGAATGCCAGAACTTCTTACTATCCACATGATAATCATATATACAGGTCAGGAAGCAAAAGTACAGACAGAATACGGCAATACAGACTGGCTCCAGGTTGGCAAAGCAGTGAGACCCAACTATATACTCTGCCCTTATTTATTCAACCTATATGCTGAACATATATTAAGGACAGCTGGATTGGAAGTTGATCATTTAAAACTGGAAGAAAAACGTCAATAAACCTGACCCGATGACACTACTCTGATAAACAGAAACATAAAGAATTTGCAAGCTCTAATGATAAAAGTCAAGGAGCAGGGTAAAAAGCTGGGACTAAAATTATTATAAAGAAGAATAGACTAATGACAACAGACAAAATAACCCAGTCTTTGAATTGATAATGAAGATACTGAAGTTGTAATTAACTGATCCTAAAAGACAGAAGCTATCAACAATCCAAAAATATGCCAGAGACTAGCACTTGTAGAGCACAAAGAAGAGAGAGTCAAGCTATTCTCCAAAGCACCTGAAGGCAGGACAAGAAGCAATGGGAGGAAACTAACCAAAGAGAGAAGCAACCTAGAACTAAGGAGAAACTTCCTGACAGTTAGAACAATTAACCAGTGGAACAACCTGCCTCCAGAAGCGGTGAATGTGCCAACACTGGACGTTTTTAAGAAGAAACTGGACAGCCATTTGTCCGAAATGGTATAGGGTTTCCTGCCTGAGCAGGGGGTTGGACTAGATGACCTCCAAGGTCCCTTCCAACTTCTTCATCATCATCATCATCATCATCATCATCATCATCATCATCATCATCATCATCATTATTATTATTAATATTATTAAGAATGAAGGTCTTGGAAAAGATATTTAGATGCTATGATGTGTTTATACCTACAAAAACTACAATAGGGCAAGCAATGATTTTACCCTATGACACAGAACATTCTCTGTTCTATGGAAATAAAACTGAACTTTGAAGAAGTAGTATGGGAAGAATATTGACACTTTTGAACTTTGGCATCAGAGAAGACTTCTGAGAACATGGTGGTCATAATGGAAAAAAATCTATGTGGCTACTAAGAATCGACACTGACGTGATGTTACATAGTCAATCAAAAGTTAAAGAACATAGTTATATATAGTAAATGATTGCGTAAAAACACAACTACTGTACATCTCTTTGCTAAGTATTCTTATGAATCTGAACAGAGACAGATATTGGTTGTGCTTTAAATAAAGTACAGATCAGAGTGCAAAAATCTCCATCGGTTATATAACCTGAAGATTCTTTCAGTTTGTGAAGCAGCAACCTTCTCACCTTCCCTGCTGAATGCTGCCAGCCAACACTGTTATAAAATATAGAAAATTCTCAGAACAAGTTGCATAATGGCCCAGGGGTCTATTCAATTAAAAAGAAGCAGTGGGAGGTCTCACACTGAATACCCAAGCACGGGGGGGGGGGGCTGTTAAGTAGCTCTTTGGATCCTAGCCACTGTTTTCAAACGTTGTATTGTTGGAAACTCTCCCAGTCTTAAAAGGTTCAAACAACAGCATATATAACTTTCCCCTCATAAGAGTAATGGAAAGGATGTGTTGAAGCACAATTTTTATGATGGAAAATGTCAATAATTGTCCTGGCCACTCTGAGCAGAGAAGCATCCTCTAACAAATATAATGCATAGCTAAGCTTCTTCTTAATATGAAGCTGGGCCAAACCAGTAATTCCACTTTCTCCCGGTCTTTTCTGCTCTGGATTTGGCAAAGATTGGATGCTCTTATTTAAAGACAGCAAGCATCAAACCTGGCTAGCATGCATCGAACAGCTCTTTTTGAAAGTCTACCCAAAGAAGAGGAAGAATATCTCACTTACAGTCTTCAGCCAGGCAAAAATCCTAACTCCCATGAAACAAATCAGAACTAAATATTTAAACTACTGATTCAGAAAAACTACAGTGATGCTTCACTGACAATACAAGATTGGAAGGCCAAGATTGGAGAACATGCAGCAATCGAAAACCTGACTGCATATTTGCAGTAGAATCTAATCAAATTCAAGCAGAAATGGCCCCCTTACGTACAACATATACAGAAAGTCGAATTTAGACATGGTTTCTGAAGGAAAAGAGAAATTGTCTAAAATAATTAAAATGAATCAAACAGAAATGAGCAATAATCATAGTAGTTTAAAGCACAGTATAAAAATATTTAAAATCCTTAAGCACTACTTAAATAGTAAAAACACTTAAGTAGCAGTCAGTGGGGGGAGAACAAAAGAACAGAGAGGCTTGAATATTTCTAAAAGACACTTTTTCTGTTTTTTAAGTCTTTATTTTTCTTAATTTTCATATTAAATCTCATCTTTTGAATTCTCATTTCAACTCTCACCTCAGTATAAAGTTTATACAAAAGCAGCAATGATATTAATTTGCATAAAGTTCAACAACATGGATGAAAGGGATTATACTGCTATGTATGTACTTAGATGTATCTATTCTATTCCTTCTCCCTTTTTTTCTTTTATTTTTCCTATTGTTTCTACTTAACTTTTCCAAAATATAAAAAAGAAAAAAACAATGAGAAAACAACTTAGATCTCTGCAGAACTCATTAAAAATCTGTATTTCAAAAGGCTATGGCATTTATCTGATAAAGTTAAATGCTTAGAGAACATTTTGCTACGCTTTTAAATTCTTAATCATCAAATCTAGCCTATTTTTATTCTGGCAAAATAAGAAATAATCTTTCTTTTGGGAAGGATTTGGGTCTTGTTGCCCTTAGAACAGTATATCTACAATGAGTTTGGAAAACAAAGTTGAGATAACAAAGAGAATTATGCAACTGACCTAGATGCTCTGCATCTAAATTAGATGATCTAAAACTAATTAAAATTTGATCCTAGGAAAAACAAGAACCAGCTTTTTTTTT